CCTTTTATCTCTTGTAAGATAAAAGGTGCTGCAGGCCACACCCCAGGGAAACTCCCTGATCAGATTAGGGATATGACCTGAGCAAGGGTGTTACATCGCACCCTAATCCTCTTTAACTATAGGCTGAGATTATGATTTATAACATGCAGGAAAATAAAAAATGGAGGACAAACACACAATGCTGGGAATCCTGGCCTAACCAAGTTGACACATATTTTGGGGGGACACAATTCAATCCATAACATACAACAATTATTCAAATTAAAGCACCAACCACTAATGCCAAAGATGAAGAAACTGAAGACTTTTACCAACTTCAGAAGTCTGAAATTGATCAAACATGCAATTAAAATGCATTGATAATTACTATGATTGGAATGTGAAAGTTGGAAACAAAGAAGAATTGATAGTTGGAAAATATGGCCTTGGTGATAGAAATGACGTGGAAGATTGCTTCATACAATTTCACAAGACCAATGCCTTATTCACTGCAAATACCTTTTTTCAACAACGTAAAGGTGACTATACACGTGGACCTGTCCTTAGGTATTTCCTTTCTCTGAATTTCGATATACTGTAAACAACTTCCGCAATAAACAGGCAGCATAAAATAAAAATATAAATGCTAATAAGAACACAAGACATTTGTTTTGCATCTAGGCCCAAATGAGCACTTGCCTGCCTTTTTTTTCAATATGCCAACTTCATGGCTCTTTCAGGACAAGTTGTTGTTAGGTGCCGTTGAGTCGCCGTCGAGTCGGTTCCGACTCATAGCGACCCTGTGTACACAGGAGGAGTACTGTGTCTTATTCACCTTTGTATCTCTGCAGTGCCTATGCCAGCTTCTGCAACATTCTGAGTCTTCCATACATACATAAACACTTCCATAAATACATAAATACTTGTTGAAATATAATGAACTTATTTATTATATTTAGTGTTTGCATTGCCTGTATTCCCTCACCAGAATGTAAGCTCCATAAGAGCAGGATCTTTCTTTTGTTCAGGGAGGTACCCCAAGGCCCCTTCTGAGTAATGTTACTGTTGCTGTTAAGTGTCGTCCACTCAGTTCCAATTCATAGTGACCCTATGTACAACAGAACGAAACACTGCCCATTCCAGCACCATACTCACAATTGTTTCTATGTTTCAGCCCATTGTTGCAGCCACTGTGTCAATCTATCTCGTGGAGGGTCTTCCTCTTTTTTGCTTATGCTCTACCTTACCAAGCATGATGTCCTTCTCCAGGGACTGGTCCTTCCTGATAACATGTTGAAAGTATGTGAGACTTAAGTTTCGCCATTCTCGCTTCCAAGGAGCACTCTGGCTGTACTTCTTCCAAGACAAACTTGTTCATTCTTCTGGTAGTGCATGGTATATTCAATATTCTTCCCCAACACCATAATTCAAAGGCATCAATTCTTCTTCAGTCTTCTTTATTCAGTGTCCAGCTTTCACATGCATATGAGTCTATTGAAAATACCATGGCTTGGGTCAGGCACACCTTAGTCCTCAAAGTGATATCTTTGTTTTTCAATACTTTGAAGGTCTTTTGCAGCAGATTTGCCCAATGCAATATGTCATTTGATTTCTGGACTGCAGCTTCCATGGGCATTGATTGTGGATCCAAGTGAAATGAAGTCCTTGACAACTTCAATATTTTCTCTGTTTATTGTTATGTTGTTTGTTGATCCAGTAGGAGGGCTTTTGTTTTCTTTATGTTGAGGTGCAATCCATTCTGAAGGCTGTAGTCTTTGATCTTCACCAGTAAATGCTTCAAGTCCTCTTCATTTTCAGCAAGCAAGGTTGTGTCATTTGCATACTGCAGGTTGTTAATGAGTCTTCCTTCAATCCTGATGCCTAGTTCTTCTTCATACAGTTCAGCTTCTCAGATTATTTGCTCAGCATACATATTGAATAAGTATAGTGAAATGACACAAACCTGACGCATACCTTTCCAGATTTTAAACCACGCAGTATCCCCTTGTTCTGTCTGAAATACTGCCTCTTGGTCTATTTACAGGTTCCACATGAGCACAACTAAGTGTTCTGGAATTCCCATTCTTCGCAATATTATCCAAAATTTGTTATGATCCACACAGTCGAATGCCTTTCCATAGTCAATAAAACACAGGTAAACATCTTTCTGGTATTCCCTGCTTTCAGCCAAGATCCATCTGACATCAGCAACAATAGCCCTCGTTCCACATCCTCTTCTGAATCTGGCTTGAATTTCTGGCAATTCCCTGCTGATGTACCGTTGCAACCATTTTTGAATTATCTTCAGCAAAATTTTACTTGCATGTGTTATTAATGATATTATTCAATAATTTCTTCATTCTGTTGGATCACCTTTCTTTGGAATGGGCACAAATATGAATCTCGCCCTATCAGTTGGCCAGGTAACTGTCTTCCAAATTTCTTGGCATAGACAAGTGAGCACCTCCAGTGCTGAATCTGTTTATTGAAACATCTCAATTAGTATTCCGTCAGTTCCTGGAGCCTTGTTTTTCGTCAATGACTTCAGTCCAGCTTGGACTTTTTCCTTCACTACCATCGTTTCCAATCATATGCTACCTCCTGTAATGGTTGAACGTCGACCAATTCTTTTTGGTACAGTGACTCTGTGTATTCTATTTTTCCCACAGAATCCTTCGATATTACAACTAGAAGCTTGATTTTTTTCTTCAGTTCTTTCAGCTTGAAAAATGTCTAGCATGTTCTTCCCTTTTGTTTTTCTAACTTCAGGTCTTTGCACATTTCATTATAACACTTTACTTTGTCTTCCCAAGTTGCCCTTTGAAATCTTCTGTTCAGCTCTTTCACTTCACCATTTCTTTCATTCACTTTATTTATTTATTTTTGTTTGTTTATTGTTGTAGTTTAAGTGAAAGTTTACTCTTCTGTTCACTTTAGCTACTCTACATTCGAGAGCAAGTTTCAGAATCTCTTCTGACATCCATTTTGGTCTTTTCTTTCCTGTGTTTTTAATGACCTTTTCCTTTTTCATGTATGATGTCCTTGATGTCATCCCACAACTTATCTGGTATTCAATTATTAGTGTTAAATGTGTCAAATCTATTCTTCTGATGGTCTCTAAATTTAGGTGAGATATACTCAACGTTGTATTTTGGCCTTGTTTTAATTTCAATTCTCTTCAGCTTCAACCTGAACTCACCTATGAGCACCTGATAGTTTGCTCCGCAGTCAGTCCCTAGCCTTGTTGACATTGAGCTTCTCCATCATGTCTTTCCACAGATGTAGTCAACTGGATTACTGTGTATTCCATTCGGTGAGGTCCATGTGTATAGTCGTCATTTATGTTTTGAAAAATTGTATTTGCAATGAATAAGTTGTTGGTCTTGCAAAATTCTGACATGCAAACTCCCAAGTCATTTCTATCACCAAGGCCATATTTTCCAACCTCCGATCCTTCTTCTTTGTTTCTAACTTTTGAAGTCCAATCACCAGTAATTATCAGTGCATCTTGAGTGCATGTTTGAACAATTTCAGACTGCAGAGGTTGGTAAAAATCTTCAATGTCTTCATCTTTGGCATTAGTGGCTGGTGCATTAATTTGAATAATAGTCATATTAATTAGTCTTCCTTGTAGGCGTATGGATATTACCTTATCACTGACAGCGTTGTACTTCAGGATAGATCTTGAAATGTTCTTTTTGATGATGAATGCGACACTATTCCTCTTCAATTCGTCATTCCTGGCATAGTAGACCATATGATTGTCTGATTCAAAATGGACAAAACCAATCCATTTCAGCGCACTAATACCTAGGATATCAATCTTTATGCATTCTGTTTCATTTTTGATGACTTCCAATTTTCCTAGATTCATACTTCGTACATTACACTTTCGGATTATTAATGAATTTTTGTAGCTGTTTCTTCTCATTTTGAGTTGTACCACAATCTTGTTGACATCATTAAAACTCCTGTTGCCATCAAGTCGATTCCAACTCATAGCGACCCTATAGGACAGAAAAGAATTGTCCCACAGGGTTTGTGACGATGGCGCAGGACTGGGCAGTGCTTAGTTCTGTTGCACATCAGGTCGCTATGAGTCAGAACCAGCTCGACGGCACCTAACAACAACAATATAGGGCTTCCAAGGCTGTAATCTTGGAATCTTGGAAGCAGACTGCCACATCCTTCTCCCGCAGAGTGACTGGTGGGTTTGAACCTCTGACCTTTCAATTATTAGCCAAGTGCTTAACCACTGCACCACCAGGGCTCCGTAGACATCATTAAAAAGGGCAATTACTTGCCTCAGATTTTTCAGTGTCTATTTTCAAAAAAGAAAATTTTGATCAAATGTATCCAAAATGAGGAGGTGAGAATGCCTGATTTTAAAGCTTTAAGTGACAAACTCCCACTCCAAATATGGTAGAAATACATCTTCGTGCTATAAACCTTCTTAGTCACCACAGACGTAGGAAGAAATAGACTTAAGAGTAGCTTTTTGGAACCAAAACTGTTGGTATATAGATACTTTTCTGTATTTGGATGTCATAGGTACACAGGATTCATGAAAAAACAAAATGAATTAGAGGATAAGGCTGAAAAAGAAAGCTAGGGACAGATGGTAAAGGGTTCAATGCCAGGCTAAGGAGTTTAGACCATGGGTAATGGGGGAGTCACTGAGAGTTTTTGAAGAAGGGCGTGTGGGATTAGAAGCCAGGGTTTTAGACTTCTGTGGCAGTGTTGAGGAGGGACTGCAAAGGTCAGAGACTCGATGCATTGCAGACTACCCCAAGGGCCCAAGTGAGAGGTGATGAGAGCACATCCCGTCCCAGCGTTCTGAGACTGTAAAGGTGTATACATACATAATGAACACAACATCCACTAAGTTTATAAAATAAACAAAGTTTTATAAAAGCTTTAATAAAACAGAGACAATTAAATCAATTGAAAGTGAGGAAGTTAAAAAAGATAAGCATGCAACAACCTAGTAAGACATGGTGGAATAAAAGGAGTCAGCTTACTTTTCGATTTCTCCTTCCATGGTGCTACAGGGCATGTTTCACTCGTCTTCTTCATCCTAAAAATTATAGATTATCATACAATCACTTCTGTATCAGTCCAGGCTACATTAACTTTAAAAAATACAAGAGGCAATGCTTCCAGTGAAACTCATTTTTTTGAATGACATCACATGGAAATTAAATAAACATTAAAGAAAGGAAAGTCCTTCCATCATAACTAACCCAATCAGAAGCAGGTATAAACCAACCTGAAATCTCAGGGTTTGCTAATAAAATTTACCAGTGGATGAGAGCTATGTCTAATTTTTCCCACCGATTTTTACCGTAACTCACTGGTCACGACTCAGGCAATGCAAAGCAGAAGTGAATCGAGATCAACAGAGTATCTGGCTGAGCCAGCTACCAACTACACGTAATGGTGTACTTTTTACCTATTAATCACCCCAATGTGAATTCTTCCAGAATTAACTTTTATTCATAATGAAATGGGGAATATGTCATAATTGAATCTGCTCCGGGTGAGATGATCCTGCACAAAAATTCCAAATTTCTTGTAACTCTGTTAAACTTTAAAAGTCAGTGGCAACTTTTAAATACTCTTTGCCTCTAGGATTATTATTATATTATCAGACTGTGTCTTGAGATTCACTAAAAACTTCTGATTACCATTAAAGAAATTTGAAAAAACATTAGACTTATCAGAGTTTCCAAATCAAATATTCACATTTGGAGAAAAAAAGGAGGGTAAGGGATTGTACACAAAACAAACAAAAATGAGTACTTCCCTGCCTTGCCAGGACTGTTCTTTCACAGGGCACTGTGCGGTATGCAGAGGAGAATAAAATGTTTGTAGGCAACTCAACACGTTCTCGTTAGAATGCCTAAAATAAAGATATTTATGTTTGCCAAGCACTTCATATACCTCATGTCACTTAGCCATCACTACTGCACTTTACAGATGAAGAAATGCTTGTCATAATACCATGAAATGCATTCAAATTATTCTTGATTGGCTTAAGTAAATTCACATTCAAGTCAATGTAAAATGTTTAGCAATCATTTCATAAATTGTAAATGAGAAAAGGAACTGTAATAGAGTGGAAATAGTAGGAAGCAAAATGAAGACTCAGTATTAAGAGGCAGAATGGGCTAATTCAGGGGCACTGTCTTGGTGCAGTGGTTAAGAGCTCAGGCTGCTAACCTCAAGGTCAGCAGTTCGAATCCACCAGCCACTCCTTGGAAACCCTATAGAGCAGTTCTACTCTGTTTTATAGGGTCGCTATGAGTTGGAATCGACTCGACGGCGACAGGTTTGGTTTTTTTGTTTGTTTGCTTTTGTTTTTTGTGTCTAGGCTTCCAGTTCCTTTAAGATGATCATACATATCAAAGAAAGTGTAACCGGACTGGCCTCTACTGGCCCACAGTCCACTGCCATGGGCAGCCCTGTATGCTCATCCTATGCCTTCCTCAAAGGGAACTGTGACTCCCAATAAAAATAAGAGTGCACTGAGTGTCAGGGACACAAGAGTCTAGATAAGGCTGCAAACTGACTGTACTTCCGGTAGGTTTCTTATTTACGTTTCAAATGGCCCCTCTTCTTTCAGCATCCCTGCCTTTCCTCCTTTTGGAGTCTCTGGGTGGCACAAACAGTTAAGCGCTGGGCTACTAACTAACAGGTGATTTGAACCCACCCAGAGGCGCCTTGGAAGAAAGGCTTCCAAATGAAAACCCTGTGGAGCAGCTCTACTCTGCACACGTGGGGTTGCCAAGAGTCAGAATGGACTTGGTGGTAACTGGCGATGGTAGATCTACTCTACTAGCAGCTTACGATTTCTCTCCACCATCTCTGATTTGGCCTTATTTCATTATAATCTCACTTCAGAAAGAGTAATTTTGTTTTTTATATTTTTATCATTTGAAAATCTAAATTCAGAAAATATTTTTAGTGACAGGAAAGGCTACATGTGTGATATTGTTTACTACAGTGTTATTTACAAACCGAAAAAAGTCAAAGCAACTTAAAATTCCAACAATAAGAACTGGTTAAATAAACTACGGATCCATCCAGGAACTATAATCTGGCCAGTAAAGATGCATTTGAAGACTATATTGGTGGCATGAAAAAATGTATATATGTAATGTTAAGTTAAAAAAGTCAAAATAAAAAATTGTAACCATATTTTTAGACAAATAACATGCACGTTCTACATTTTTTTTTTCCCACCAGGCCCTCGCCCCGGAGAGGCATTTTCAAAATGTGGTATGTTAATTTTTTTTCATTACGAAGGTAGAGGACAATGACTTGATTGTGGAAGATTTTTTTAAAGTCTAATTCCTGTCCTTTTTCCGTATTTTAATCTTCATGAAGCCCTTTTTTAAAAAAATTAGCATTGCACACTTATAAAAATACCTTGAGGGGGGCGTGATTGGCAAAAAACATAGAACACACGCATTGTTTGAGTAAAAATACAGTACATACATTAAAATTGCAACAAAAAATTTCATGAAAATGCAAAAGGGTAGAAGAAAACGCCCAACAATCAAGATAGATATGTTAGGATGGGTAGATTATCAGATAACTATTTTTCTTTTTCCCCCAAATTTTCTGCAAAATTCTTATTGTAATTTAGATAAAAGTCATTCACAACTTTCCCTTTTAAGTCTGTTCTAGTTCTCTCATTATAGTACCAGAATTTATTTCAAGAGCACTTAACAAGAACAATAATATAGTGTAAAACTCAAGAAATGTATTTAAAGTCCAATACTTGTGTCCTGTGTATAATTGGATGATTTCAGATTTTATTACGGAGCCCTGGTGCTGCAATGGTTAAGTGCTCTGCTGTTAACTGAAAGGTTGGAGGTTTGAACCCATCAGCTGCTTCACCAGAGAAAAGACCTGTCAATCTGCTCCCCTAAATATTACAGTCTAGGGGACGCTATTGGACAGTTCTAGTCTGTAATATAAGGTCATTATGAGTTGAACTGACTCGAAGGCACACAACACCAAAAGTTTCATATGGCAGGAAGATAATATGAAAAATATAAATCCTCCCCTAAAGAAAATTGCAACTCAGAATGTTATAAATGCTTTGTCTTTTTTTTAGGCTGGCAAAGTGAACAAGCATTAGATAATCATAAAGTATCTGATGAATAAACAAATGAATAAAATCATAGCAAAAACTGAATAGAATATGAAACTGTCTTATTACATAGATAATACATAGATCCCTTTGGAGACAGAGGTTTTCTTTAGATGATATGCCAATCAGTCTGATTTATAGCAGGAAAGGTATTTATAATAATGTTTTTAATTGCCAGTATTTAAAGTCAGTGGGACTTTTCTGGCTGACAAATTCATTCCTGATAGTCCATGCTGAGTCCTATCGAGGCTGGCATCTCATTCGGAATCTCCTCTCATACTTCTTCAAACCAGACTAGAAATGAAACTCAAGGTTCTGTGCTCAGGGGACAGAAGTCTGTTCATATTGCAGAGTTGTTGTTGTTTTTTAATTGCTAAAAATGCCAATGCTCTCATGGACATGATCTAGGCTAGAGCAATAAAGATTTTTAAAAGTCTTTAAATCCTTTTTAGCAATGCCACTTGAAAACAGAGAAAAGCGCTTACTTGTCAAACTGAGTAAAATTGCTAACTTGTCAAACTGAATAAAACTGCTAACTTTGATTAAATCACTTATGGAAAAAAAAATTAGTAGGCAAGAAATCATCAAAATTCACTAGCCAGAAAAACTTCTACATCCAGCAGTATTGCTACAAGTAAATGTTTAAAAAGAAGGTAAGATCTACCTGACTTTGGGCATCTCAATATCAGGATGTGGCAGTCTTCTATGAACCTCTAGTGGAGTTGGACTTAGAGTCTTCTGGCAACTTTGCAATCCTGGTAGATACGGCATTTTGACACATTCCTTGAGCTCTTCTAGACCAAAAGCTGTGGTGTATTCTAAGTAAAAATATTATCACAGTCATATGTATTTTTTCTTGATTAAATTTATACTTCTTTTACAATATACTAAAATGCACAATAAAATACATCGAATCAGTCATTTAAGTAAAGAAAATTAAGCAATTGTAATTTGTCTTGCACCTTTCCCAAGAGAAAGCCTTTCAATTCCTAGCCTAGTGAGTGTAGGGAGGAGTTGATTAAGGCCTTGATTAAGAATTAGAATAAGGAGAAAGGACAGGAATTAGGATAAGAAAAATCTTCCACAGTCAAGTCATTGTGCTCTACCTTCATTAGTTCACTAATTAGAATTCCCAGAATATTAGATACATTCACATTGAAGTAGAGTGAAAAAGCACTTTCAAGAGTCTTGAATTATTTGCTGTTTTTAATCTTTCCACCTTCCTGCTGGTATATGGATAATTAAAAGCTGTAAATACACGATCATTTGAGCTAGGAATGAGAAATAAAGGCATTCCACTTCAGGCATTGATCTGAAGTTTCTCTCCACAAAATTCTACACTAAATCTATAAATAGCAACACTGAAGCATCAAGATTGCTTCCTCTACTGCCCTCACATATCATCAATAAGGGGATTACCAAGCTAAAAAATTTTTTTTCAAAAAAAAGGCAGTAAATGGAAAAAGCAGGTTAAGAGGTTAAAAGGCAAGTCTAGCACAGCAACAAAAATAACATTTAACAGGACTAAAACTATATAAATGTTCAAAATGCTATTTGCAACCTTTGACTCTTCCTCTTTAACAACAACAACAAAAAATTCTCCTAATCAAAAAAAATATATAAATTCTCTTTTCAACAATTAGATTTCAGTGGTAGGGAGGCTGGATCAAGCTGATGTCTTCGGAGTACCTGTAATTGGAAGCTGGTAAGGAAGTTGAAAAAAATGTACAGCAACAAATGCAGGAGGGATGAGGTAGTTGCGTAGCTTGCATTTTGCTATTTTTAAGAATTATATATCCATTAATAAAGCTGAAGGCAGAAACCATAATAAATAAGAAATACAAACAATTACAGGTTGAAATTGAAGGGGAAAGCTATTAATACACACACACGTCAAAAGTTCTCAAACTAGTATTTATTGAGCAAACATAGGATATTGGATACTCTACATATAACTCACTCCAAAATAAAGTTTTGGCTGGACTTATTAACCAAAAAGGTATACTTAAAGATTTGGAGTTTCTTAAAATATAAAAACCAACCTGAGGTCATTAAAAACAAACCAACATTTATGAGCAGTTGTATAAACCAACATAGTACTGCACTGAATACCAAGTCGTTTTTAAAAATTTGCTTCTATCATGAGTCACAGAATCACATTAATTCATTTTAATTTATTCTCATTGTTTTTTTTTCTAACGACTGAAGATATTACTCTTGTATAAATGTCATAGAAATGTTAAAACATCTCCTGACTGCTTAAAAACTCCATGTAAGTCCACGGCACCATTTCTACGTGAAAATAAAATTAAAATGAAGTTACCTTTCTTAATCTTTTGTGTTTCTAGCACTGCCTTCCTCCAGCTACTCTCAAAAAGAAAACAACCATCAAGGGAACTTCTGGCGACTTTCGTCGCCTTGAATTGGACTTCAGGAGAGAGCACTAACATTCTTTCTTCTTCTTTTAATATTGCTGATGAAAGGGAGATGCTGCTCCTGATACAGGATGCAAGATACAAATAAAAGAAGGCATTTCAGAGACATACACTTTTTCTAACTTGTTTTCCACACCGCAGATTAAATACTAACAGACTTAAATGACAAGTTTACTTATAACGTGTAAATACGTACATATTCTTTGGATTTCAAAACAAGAGACCTTTAAGAATACAGCAAAAACCTACAGTCAGAATTTTTTTCTTTTAAACTTTAAATATTTTAATGAATTATTTCAAACTCCAGGTTACAGATACTTGGCGATACAGAAAGCATTTACAGGCCAACAGTAATTTATCATCTACAGGACAATAAGAATGCTTAGGAGTCTCTCAGAAATATTACCAGTATAAAATGCATTTGTGTTTGGGAAAAAAAAAAGAAATTCCAGGCACTATACAAAATAAACACATCCTCAAGATAGCCATTACTTTTATTTTGAACATGGACACAGAAGAATAATCAATCATGTATCTGTCTACTTAACACAGTAAACATATATTCAGTGCAATCATATACATGAAGTGCTTATTATGTACAAGGCATTACTAAACTCTGAAGAGCCTGCAACTAGAAGTAAGACTCTCAGGAGTCCAGTGGGGATGGTGAAGAATGACAACAACTACAGTTATCGTTCTTCGAATGTTTATTAGTCCAGGCTACTTGCCTACTTGCTGGGCATTTTATATTCATTTTTCTCCAATCTTCACAACAAAAGGATGAGAGATACTCTGATTCAGTTATATTCATTCATTCATACAAAACAAATTCTTTACTGAGGGTCTACTGTATGCCAAGAATCACTCAAGTCATTGGAGAAACGTGATAAAGAAAACAGCCCGTCCTTCTAGGAGGTTGGAGCGTAGTAAAGGAAATGGACAACACAGTGTAGTAAGTGCTAAGATGGGAATCTGAAAACAGTTGGGGGCTGAGAAAGCCTTCCAGGAGGAAGGAATACAGGTAGTTCCCAATTTATGAGAGATTGGAGTTACTAACTGCGATTTTTTTCTTTTTTTGTGCATCTTAGTAATATGTACTACATACAATGTTGCAGCACATAATTTGCTGATGTTATCATTCTCAGATGATGATCAAAGATTGGATTCATAAAGATACTGATAATAAAAGCAATATTAATGAAAACTGAAAAAAAGGAGGTATTCGACTTACATCAGAACCTGCTTTCTACCAAGTTGTTGAAATGGAACCACATCTTAAGTCGGGGACTACCTGTATATTGTGTAGGAGCTAACAAAGTCATGGGGAGGACGGAGGGAATAACTCCTAGTAGAGCGGAAGAAAAAGCATGTAAGACGACCACAAGGTAAGAGACGTGACTCATGTAAGCAGTTTAATATAGCTGGTGTACGTGTGTGTGTGCAAAGAATGTGGGCAAGTATGTGGGAGGAGAGAGAGAAGATGGTGAGGAAAATGGGAAGGAGAAAGAGGGAGAGGAGGGAGATGGAGAAGGAGGAGGAGAGGAGAGCGAGCCACAAAAGCAGCAGCAGAGATGGGGGAGCGGTAAGAGGTTCGCAGACTCAAAGGAAGGCTACTCTTAAGGAGCTGTTGTTGTTAGGTGCTGTCGAGTGGGTTCCAAATCATAGCAACCCTATGTACAACAGATTGAAACACTGCCCGGTCCTGCACCATCTTCACAATCGTTACTGTGCTTGAGCCCATTGTTGCAGACACTGTGTCAATCCATCTCATCGAGGGTCTTCCTCTTTTTCACTGACCCTCTTCTTTACCAAACATGATGTCCTTCCCAGGGACTGGTCCCCCCTGATAACATGTCCAAAGTACATGAGATGAAGTCTCGCCATCCTGGCTTCCAAGGAGCACTCTGGCTATACTTTTTCCAAGACAGACTTGTTCTTTCTTCTGGTAGTCCATGGTATTTTCTTCACCAACACCATAATTCAAATGCATCAATTCTTCTTCAGTCTTCCTTATTCATTGGTCAGCTTTCGCATGCATGTGAGGTGGTAAAAAATGGTGGCTTGGGTCAGGCACACCTTAGTCCTCAAAGTAACATCTTTGCTTTTTAATACTTTAAAGAGGTCTTTTGCAGCAGATTTGCCCAATGCAATGCGTTTCCTAAGGCGTTAACTGTGTCAAATCCTGGAGAGGTCATTTATTGTAAAATGAGAAAATAAAAGAGAAAAGTTTTTGGATTTAGTGATGAGATCTTGGGTCTGCTATAAACAGCTGTGTTGGAGTTAAAGGCAAGTGTGAGGCCAGAGAGTAATGAATGGGCCACAGAGTCAGGGTGAAGGGCATTAGAAAATAAGTTAGAGACAGCAAAGAGAAGAGAATCACAACTTCAGCCCAAGGCTCTTGGGCTTCTCCAACCTGACCAGCCAAGTCCTCCTCTGGCCCTGGCCCACACCCTCCTTCCCTGCAGAAGGGCTCAGAGGCTCACACAGCTTCCTGTGATCCTCTAACGCTGCCACCACCCTCTCCATTCTTGTGGTTGATCCTCATTCCAGGCAACAAAGAGCGGCTCCTTCTTTCTTGGATGCTCTTGAGGACAAGCTCTTAGGTTCTTTTTATTTTATGAGGTTTATTGCTAAAGACTCAAGAAATCAGACAAGACAACCATAAGGGTGACAACAAACTAAACTAAAATATGGAGTTAAATTATAACTTCCAAAGTCTTAAAAGACTCTCAGAATCATGACCCAGTGACTTCTTTCTAAGAACTTCTCTTTCCTTTTATTTGTAAAGGTGAAGATGATCAGTCTTCTTTCAGCTTCAAGGCAAGTCTGCCTCTTCCTCTTAGAAGTCCCTCTCCCAGGACAGAAGAGGCAACCAGGGCTAACAATAAATGTCCCCTAAACTCTCATACAGTTTGCATTTCTGAACACTCCAGACCAGTGTGGCACCAAGGAATAGGCCTCTTGGGGGCATTTCATAAAACCTGTCAAGAGAAAGTTTTCTTAAAACCGAAGTTTTTTTTAAAAGCTCACATGATAAACACATGAGGGTTCCTTATGTTACCATCGCTACACTTTTGTGTATGTTAGAAATCTTGCACAATAAAAAGTTAAAATAAAGCCCACAGCTATAAGAATGTATAACTTAAGGAATGCACTGAAGTAATGAAAAGCCAGATGTTTTTGATTTCATGTTTCCTGAAGCTATGGCCACTACCTAATCCTATTGGAAAAAGAAAAATTAAGGCTACTTTATAGGGCTAATAAAAGGGCTGTGCAAAAAAACAACAACACATATAGGAGGAGATAATAAAAAGAACAAAGTACAAATGTTCTGGGGCAAGCAATAAAGAATTCACCCAAGACAAAGGCCTTCTTGAATTAACAGTAACAAGAATCAGGGTTGAGATCAACTAATTACTTAAAACTAATACCTATAAAATAATTGCTATATTTTAAAAAAAAAACCCACAAAACCAAATCCATTGCCTTCCAGTCAATTCCAACTCATAGTGACCCGATAGGAAAGGGTAGAACTGCACCACCGGGTCTCCAAGGAGTGGCTGGTGGATTTGAACTGCTGACCTTTCGGTTAGCAGCCAAGGTCTTAGCGACTACGCCACAAGAGCCCCATGTAAGTATCCCAAAAACTGAACTCGTTGCGTCAAGTTGATTCTGACTCATAGTGAATCGATGGGACAGAATAGAATTGCTCCATAGGGTTTCCAAGGAGTGACTGGTGGATTTGAACTGCCAGCCTTCTGGTTAGCAGCCATAGCTCTTAACCAGTATGCCACCAGGGCAGTGTAGGTATCCATTAAAAATAGAAGGAATTGTTTTGATTTTTACTAATTTTACATAAATTATACACAACCTGCAACTTTTTTTCACCAACTTGACAGCGAGTCATATTTATACATATAGACTAATTTGTTCATTTTAACTGCTGCCTATAGTATGTAAGTTATATGAATATTTGGTTATTTATCCATTCTCCTACCGGTAGTCATGTGAATTGTTTGCAATTTTCCAATATTACAAAGAATGTCACAATTAGCGCTCTTGTATATGAGTCCTTGCATATGTGAGCTGGTGTTTCTCTATGGTACATTCCTAAAATTGGATTCACTCTAGAACTGAATTCACTCAGTCTTAAGGTGTGCAAATTTTTAACTTTACATGCTATTACTAAATTATTCCCCAATGTGCTAATACCAATTTATATTAAGTGGTTATACCAACGTACAGACCCATAAGAGTTTTTGTTTACTCACATTTTTGTGTATACTTGTAATGACTGTCATTTTAATTTTTGCTAATCTTTAGATGCAAATAGTACTTTGTTGTATTAATTTTTGTTTCCCTCAAAATCAGTGTGTATTGGCCACTTAGGTTTCCTTCCTGTGAACTGCTTTTTTCTATGCTTTGCCCATTTTTTGGTAGTTTTGTCTTATTGATTTGTAGTTCTTTATATATTCTGAGCATAATTCTTTGAATTATGGATATTGCAAGTATTTTCTCCCACTATTAGTTTATTTTTTAACTTGATTATAGTGTCTTGTATCCTACTACAAGTATTTACTTTGGTGTAGTCAAATTTGTCAATTTCTTCCTTTATGAATATCGTTTTAAAGACACCCTTTCTTCTCCAAGACATAATGATAAATGCCAAGATCCCCCAAATGCTAAAGTCTGATTCTGAGCCCTGATATTTTATTGAATACTCCTGAGCCAATATAATACTGCCTTAATGTCTAAAAATTCTGTTATATGTATACGTGTTCATATACATATATATGTATGTATGTTATTGTGTGTGTGCTTTGTGTGTGTATAAGCTTTATCTTGTTTAATCCCTTATTTTGGTGAAGCTTCCTGAGAAAGGGTAGATAAATTATTTTGAGAACATTCATATCTAAAGATTGTCTATATTTCATCCCCACACTTAATTGATAACTTAGGCTAGGAATAGAGTTCCAGGTTAGAAATGACTTTACCCCAAAATTTTGAAAGCATTGTTCCCTGTGTCTAGTGTTGTCTGTGTCTA